CGGGCCCGATGCCCCGTACTGGCCCCCCCTCCCTCTCCTTAGCTCTCCTCCAGCCTTCCCCCCTCCCTGGCCACCCACCTGGCCCTCCCACACCTTGGCCCTGAAGCTCTCATCCCTGCAGGCCTTTGGTTCCTCCTACCCCTCCGTGCCCCTGGCCTGCCCAGACCACACCCCCTCAAGACTGACACCTTCCTGACCACACTAGTCATCATCATAATCGTACCGTGTGCCACATTCTGAGCTCAGCACTTGACACATAGCTCACTTAATCCGCACACGGTCAAATAGGTACTATTATCACTCCCATTTTGCAGATGAGAAAACTGAGGCACAAAGAGATAACATCGCTTGCCTATGGGCACGCAGCTGGTAGGTGGCAGTCAGGATGTGCATCTAAGCAATCTGGTTCTAGAATATGAGCCTGTTTTAGGCTGCCTCCTGGCCCTCACCCTCATACGCTGCTCAGCAGGGTGTAGCTTCCACAGAACTGTCACAACATCTCACGCGCCCTTGAGGTAGGCAGGACAGATGAAATCCCCATTTAACAGGTGAGGAGACTGAGGCTCGGAGAGATTGTTCCTGGGGCACATGGTTAGTGATGGAGCCTTTCATTCATGTCACATGCATTTATTACATGCCTGCTGCATGCCAGGTGCTGGGCTACCACCAACAGTGGCCGCTGCCTGGCACAAGGTCTAACAAGCAAGCAGGCACGGAAGGGGATAAGAACCGGGTGTTCCGACCCTAGCCCAGGGTCTTTCCCGTCCGCCACAGGCAGGAGCACTGCCCCAGGCCATCTTTCCACCATATCCCTATAGATCCCCCTCCTGGCACCCGCATGCCCTGCTGGCCACCCAGGGTGGGGGGACAGGGGCACGCGTGCAGAACCAAGACTCAGAGCGCGTCCCTGCCCACCTGGGACACAGGCTGCCTGGCTCACGGGGAGGAGCACCCGGAAGGCAGTAGCTGGGTGCACCCCCAAAGCCCCTGCTCCTCCTGCATGTGTCACGAGGGTGTCGTCACCTGTGCCCGCGTCCAGTGTGTCAGCTCCTGTGCCCAGCCCCACCGAGGGCTCAGTGACTGCTGCCCTCGATGCTCTGGTACTGGGAGCCTGGGGCCGGGTGAGGGAGGGCGGGGAGGCAGGACTTCTCTCCGGGCTGGGCCGCAGAGACAGGCTGCTCCAGGAGAAGTGACCCCCACTCTTGCACACACCCCAAAATCTGGAGCCGGGGGCATCCCCTAGCATTCTTGCCAGCCTGAAGGCTCCCTGGTCCTGTTCTGCCCCAGACTGTGAACATGAAGGTCGGAAGTACGAGCCAGGGGAAAGCTTCCAGCCTGGGGCAGACCCGTGTGAAGTGTGCATCTGTGAGGTGGGTGAGGGCAACGCCGAGGGGCTGGGCACCACAAAGGGGGCAACCATGGGGAGCAAGCAGTATGCGGGTCAGAGATAGGAATGTGCCCCCCAGGGCCAGGAAGCGTGGGGCAGGACAGGCGCTGAGCGGGGTGGGGGCAGTGGGCAGCCCTCCTGGCTGGAGTTTAGGGTGGGTGTGTATGGGAGGTAGGGGGACCCCTGGGAAGTGGTTGGGGGGCCTGTGAGGGAATAACATTTGAAAGTAATGGTGAGCCGATGAATGACGCCCTGTGCCCAGGGATTTGGCAGGGGAGGGGAGGAAATGGCATGAGAGTGCAGGGGCTCAACACTCATAAGAAGGTTCAGGCCCGGGTAACTGGAAAGAGAAGGGAACGTCATCTCCTGGGACTAGGGCATGGGGTGAGGAGCGATCTGGGGAGACGTTGAGTCTCTGCAGACTGGAGTTTAACTTGCCCAGGGTACACCCAGCCGGAGGTGCAGTAGGCAGATGGAAGGGCTTGGGGTCCAGGGAAAGAGGGTGGCTCTTGGCTTTCAGGGCCCGGGACTCACCCCCTTTGCTCACTCATTTTTGTAGCTGCAGCCTGAGGGGCCCCCGAGCCTTCAGTGTCATCGGCGGCAGTGTCCCAGCCTGGTGGGCTGTCCCGCCAGCCAGCTCCTGCCCCCTGGGCCACAGCACTGCTGCCCCACCTGTGCCCGTGAGTCCCTGGATGTGGGGGTAGACAAGAGGGTAGGACTGCCATCCCCAGAGTGACACTGGAAGTCAGTCGCTCTCCTCTACAGCCCTGGCTTTCACCGTTTTTTGAGTCCAGTGGACTATTCAGGAAGCCCTGGCTGGTGCGGCCTGCACCTCTCCCCCACCCCCAGAGGGGGGACTGGGGAAGCTGGCAGGGAGGGATCCCTGGACTCTGAAGCCAGGCGCAGTGTGTGGAGCATCTTGCCCAGCAGGTGGCGCTGTGGGATGGGGTTTTGCAGGTTGCGGGCTTCTTGAGGGCCGTAATGTGAGGCCAGAGGGGCTACAGAGGTGGGGAGGGGCTACAGAGGTGCCATACCCTGTACTTGGTGTTTTTAATAAACACTATATCATTTAATTCTCATTTACCCAGTGAGCGGTGTTATTATTCCCTTTTACAGATGAAAAAACTGAGGTTCAGAGAGATTGATTAGTCTGCCCAAAATGGCCCAGGCACTGAATGCTGGAGCCAGGATTAGAACCTGGAGTACCTACCTGGCTCTCTGTGCTTCCTTGTGCTGTTTTAGCCAGGTAATATAAGAGGAAATAGGAGAGGGAGCAAGCGAGGCCGGCAGTCTGAGGGTCCTTAGTGACCTTAAGCTAAGGAAGCCACACCTTGTCCACTCCCAGGCCCTCCACCCTAGTAGTCTGCAAAGTTCTTTTTCAAAAGCCCCAACTTTTCTTTGCGGACCCAAGAGGAAGGAGGACTCGTCCTCTTATCAAGGTGCTGGGGATATGGGTATGTCCCAGGCCCAAGAAGTCTGGGGACACAGCGGGTAAGTGGGCTTTTGTCCCCTGCTTCCCCTCTCCGTCCCCGATGCTGAACTCTTGTCTTCACAGAGGCGCTGAGCAACTGCACAGAGGGCCTGCTGGGGTCTGAGATGGCCCCGCCGGACCCTTGCTACACCTGCCAGTGCCAGGTGAGCCCCCCGCCCTGGGGATTCCCAGAGCTCTCTCTTCTTCCTCCTCTGTGCACTGTGGCAACAACTCCCCTCTTGCCACTCCAGGCTCCCCGCCCACTCCGACACGCGTCCGCACACCTTGAATATCATATCTGGCCTCCACCCTGCTCCCTCCCTGTTCTTCTCTACTGATGGCGTTCACATGCCCTTCCACAGGACCTGACATGGCTCTGCATTCACCAGGCCTGTCCTGAGCTCAGCTGTCCCCCATCGGAGCGCCACACCCCCCCTGGGAGCTGCTGCCCCGAGTGCCGAGGTAAGTGCCGGCCTTGACCTGCATCCTGTGAACACGAGCCCAGGGGGGAGACAGGAAGGGTGGCATCCAAAGGCTAAGGGGGCAACCTGAGGTCTGTACTTCAAATGTGGGCTTCGTTCTCTTGTCGAAATGAAGGGTCATTCAGTGGGGTGCAGAAGGTAGAGGAAAGCAGAGGATGAAGTCTGGATACTCAAGGCCTGGCCTGGGGCTTGTCACTGGGCTCGGAGGCCCCAGGCCCATTGGACAGGCATTGCACTGAGCTGGCAGCTGGCCCATGGGAAGGTTCCAGCCTGTGACTCTTTGGGCTTCCAGGACCCTTTCCACTTCCCTCGCACTGGTTGCCGGGCCTGCCATCTGGTAGGTCATCTGGATACCGGTTGCAGAAATCAGCACCATCAGGGTGCTAGCGGAACGGCGCGGGCCTTCAGGGTGCGCTCCAGGGAGGAGGATGCAGTTGGGAGGACCATGCTCCCCCCTCCTCACTTCTTCCTCCTCAGAATGTGTGGTGGAGGCCGAGGGCCGGAGAGCGGCGGATGGAGAGAGCTGGCGGGACCCTAGCAACGCTTGCATTACTTGCGCCTGCCATGTGAGCTGGGGGTGGTGGGCAGGTAGAGGGTGGGGAGGAGGACCTTACAGATGGATAAAGGGAGGAGTCTCAGGACACTGGACCAGTGAATATGGGGTCTTTGAGGTAATTAGTAAAAGGCGCCCCCTCTGGGTGAGAGCGGGCAGTGGCATCCCTGTGCCGGGGCAAGGAACTAAGGGCTGGATTTCATCCCCCACTGGAACATGAAATGGGTGTTCTTGTAGGGCAGGGGCAGAGAGAAGGGGCTGCTGCCTCAGACTGTGACCCAGAGGCTCCCAGAAGTGTGAGGCCAGGCACCCCAGGCCCTGCAGGAAGTCCCTAGAGCAATGACATCTGTCCTCAGCGGGGCCGCGTGGAGTGCCACCTGGAGGAGTGCCCCGCCCTCTCCTGCCCCCAGGGCTGGGCGAAGGTGCGAGAGGCTGGCAGCTGCTGTGAGCGATGCCAAGGTGCCAGCCAGAACGATGGGAGTTGGGGACGAGCGAGACCCAGTGTGAGGGACGGGCAGTTGACCCTACCCCGCTCCTGTCCCCTCAGCCCCCGCCCAGTCGTGCGCGCACGAGGGCCGGGCTGTGGCCTCCGGGGAGCGCTGGGCCGTGGACGTTTGCACCACTTGCTCCTGCGTGGCAGGCACCGTGCGCTGCCAGAGCCAGCGCTGCCCGCCGCTCTCCTGTGGCCCCGTGAGTGCCGCGTCTAGGGCGGTGGGGTGAGTGGGCATGTGGCAACGCCTTCCTGGTAAGACCCGGCGGGAGGAAGGAGGCAGCGCTTGGGTAGCAGCCGCGGCGCGGTTGGGAGGGGGGCGGGGAGAGAGACCCAGCGGCCGTGCAGTTCTAGGCGCGGCCACAAGGCGGTGCCCTGAGCCCGCTTGCGGTGAGCCGGGGAGATTCCCGGGAGATCCTCGGTCCCAGGGGAGGCTCTGAGAGGGGCACCGCAGGGAGGGCGAAGTGTCTGACGGGATCCGGGGCTGAGGCCAGGACGAGGCCCCCGCCCTGAGTCCCGGCAGCTGCTGCCCCCGCTGCCTGCCCCGACCCGCCTCCTGCATGGCCTTCGGAGACCCTCATTACCGAACATTCGACGGCCGCCTGCTGCACTTCCAGGGCAGCTGCAGCTATGTGCTGGCCAAGGACTGCCGCGGAGGGGACTTCAGGTGCGCAGCCCCCTCTGCCTTCTCCCTAACTCCCCACACCTGTCCCTGCTGACTACTGCACCTGGGCCTCTCACGCCACAGCGTGCACGTGACCAACGATAACCGGGGCCGGAGGGGTGTGGCCTGGACCCAGGAAGTGGCGGTGCTGCTCGGGGACGTGGCGGTGCGGCTGCTGCAGGGCAAAGAGGTCACGGTGAGCAAAGCTGAGGACCCAGGGATGGTCGGTCCCGTGCTTTCCGCTGTCCCGACGTCGGCCCTCCTCCTGCCTCCCTCCTCCAGGTGGACGGGCGCCCTGTGGCCTTGCCCTTTCTGCAGGAGCCGCTGCTGTACGTGGAGTTACGGAGACGCACCGTGATCCTGCATGCCCAGCCCGGGCTCCAGGTGCGGCGCAAGGGCCAGTGGGGGTGTGGGAGCCTTGGACCTGTTCAGGCCTCTGTCTGTAGAGGGAGTGGGAATACCAGCTGGGTCCCGTGCCAGATCAGGCCAGTGAGGTCAGAAAGTTCTGCTGGATTCTGAGGGGAGGAAAGGAATCATGGTCGGAGACCTTGGGTGCAGGGAAGGGAGGTCTGAGCCTGGTTCCTAATCTTGATTCAGTCACCAACGCAGTGGGACTCTTAGGCCAGTACCAACCCTCTCTGGGCCTGTTTTCTTATTGGTAAAAAGGGGGAACAATTGAGGGGATGCCAACTAAGGTCTACGTGGTTTCTGAAATTCCTTCCAAATCCCATGTCGAAGAGTAAATTTCTCCCTGCCTTCGGCAAGAAGTACAATTTGTAAATTCCTAAAACAAGTCTCGTCGATACTTCTGATCTGGACTCTAATTGTGCTTCATCCTCTCTAAGGCCCTAATGCCCATGAGAAAGTGAATCTCTGAAGCATTTCACCAGGGGGCCCAGTTCAGGGGTGCCGATGGGAGAAGGTGCCCTCCTGCCGGAGCTGTGGGCAGCTCTTCATGTCTTCTGTGTGTGCCCAGGACTCACAGAGCACGTGCCAACTTGGCTTTGGCCAGGGCAGCCTCCTTTCCACGGGGAACCTCTACCCTCCCATTCTCCTCACCCACAGCATGGAGTGTGCTGACAGTGCATGGGGCCAGGGTGGACCCTGGGCTTCTGGGGGTCCCTACCTTTCCCCATTCCCCGATTCCAACCTCTCTGCCCAGGTGCTGTGGGATGGGCAGTCTCAGGTGGAGGTGAGCGTGCCCAGCTCCTACAGGGGCCAGATGTGTGGGCTCTGTGGGAACTTCAATGGCTTTGCCCAGGATGATCTGCAGGGCCCTGAGGGGTTGCTCCTGCCCACAGAGGCTGCATTTGGGAATAGCTGGCAGGTGAGTGGCACAGGAGCCGGGTGGCTGAGTGTGATCATAGAGCAGCCCTCTTATGTGGAAAGGGGGGTGGGCACGAGGTGGGCTTTGCAGCTTCAGGGTGATTTGGGGGCTTCTTGCTTCTGTCGTGGTGCTGGGGGAGGCAGCGTGGCCTGTTGAATGAGGCCTCATCATCCGAATCCTCAAGCCCTGCCTGGCCACTCACTGGCTGTGTGACCTTGGGTGAGTCACTTAACCTGCTCTGGGCCTTAGCTTGTCCAGCTGTAAAATGGGGACAAGGAGAAAGTAGCTGGTGCTTTCCTTTGCTATTCTTGTAGGGAGATTTTTGGAGCTAAACCAAAATATTTAGTGGAAAGTGTTTTTGAAGCACGTAGCACACAGAGATCAGCCGCCAGTGGATGCTGTCACATCAGGGTCACTCTTGCCATCTAGGTCCCAGAAGGGCCGGGACCCAGTCGGATATGTTCCAAGGGCCGCGAGGTGGATCCGTGCAGGGCAGCGGGTTACCGTGCCAGGCGTGAGGCCAACGCCCGGTGTGGTGTGCTTAAGTCCTCCCCGTTCAGTCGCTGCCACTCTGTGGTGCCACCAGAGCCCTTCTTTGCCGCCTGCGTGTATGACCTATGTGCTTGTGGCCCCGGCTCTTTGGCTGACGCCTGCCTCTGTGATGCCCTGGAAGCCTATGCCAGTCACTGTCGCCAGGCAGGGGTGACACCTGCCTGGCGGGGCCCCACACTCTGCGGTGAGGGGGAAATGCCCAGCGCGAGTTGGGGAAGAGGGTGGCACAGGTCTCAGGTGTGGATGTGGTAGGAACAGGGTGGACCGCAGGGGTGAGCAGGGCACCTGGAGTGCTGCCGGGGTGCCCCTGTGACCCTGCCTTCCACTCCACCTGCAGTGGTGGGCTGTCCCCTGGACCGCGGCTTCGTGTTCGATGAGTGTGGCCCGCCCTGTCCCCGCACCTGCTTCAACCAGCACATCCCCCTGGGGGAACTGGCCGCCCACTGTGTGAGGCCCTGCGTTCCTGGCTGCCAGTGCCCCGCGGGCCTGGTGGAGCACGAGGCCCACTGTATCTCACCCGAGGCCTGCCCCCCAGTCCAGCTCACCGGGGACCTGCCACCCAGGCCTCCGCCCAGCCCTGGCCGGTAGCCAGGACACCAGGACTCATCAGGTCAGAAGCCTCTCCTCTGAGAACAGCTCCCACCCTGGCCAGAGCCATGGAAAGAGTACCCCACCCAGGTGCTGGGGTCCTGTGTCCCACAAAGACCTCATCATGTTCAATCAGAAGCAGTAAAATCGGGGCCTCTCCTACAGCTTACTTGTGTCTATGTGTCTTTTCTCCTGGTGCTGGGATGGTGGGGGCTTGGAATATGGGGTACAGCAGCGGTTAGTGTCCCCAGGATCAGAGAGGTGGCAGCTGTGGGAGCTGAGCCTTCACTTCTTGCACTTACCATACCCTGGTGTTGCCTGGGAAACCCTGCAATGGAAGGAGGACCTAGGTATCCTGATCCCAGCTCCGTGCTCACACTATGTCACAAGCATAGCCCATGGTCCCCACATTGGTACCTCTGTGGATCCATGTGGAATCCTGTTAGGAGGCTGAGGGGCACGGAGAAGGGGCTCAGTTTCCCCACATGGCATTCCCTTTCCTCTTGATTTGGGGAATACCAAAGGCTAGGCACCTCCTGGGCTACTCTAACACCTGGTGACATAGGGACCCCATGCCTGGGGTGGGGAACAGAAAACACAACAGACTGTGATGAAATATGGACACACGTGCACACACACACACACACACACACACCTCAGAAACCCAGGTAAACATGTGCAGCACATGCATGGGCCCATGTGTGCATTCACAGCCACACCCACCCTGGACGGACATGTGAGCAGGAGACATCCTTGTAGGGGAAGGAGCACAGGTTTTGAAATAGACAAAAAGTCTATTTCCTTGAAAAGTCTGTCTTCAAAAAGAACTCTAGTTTTTTTGGCTGTGACCTTGGTGTTTTAGGAACCTTGGCTAAAAGATCAGGGTGGGGGGGTCCTCCATTCTTATTGCCAGGTCCCTAATCTTTCAACAGGAGTGAAGAGAGAGTATTGGGCTAAACTGAGATGGCCTGCCCTGCGAGCTTAGCCCGCTTCTGCTGAGGCCCACCAGAGAGAGGTGGCCTCTTTCTCTCGCGGAGCCGTTTCAAAGCAGCAGGCATGCAAGGCTGCTCGTGACAGCACAGCGTGTGAACGTCACAGACCAGCTCGTGTGTTTGCACCTCCCCTCGTTGTGACCTGTACAAACCGTGTCCTCGCCTGATGCATCTCGCGTGTTGTGAGGAGTAAACAGAGTGACCTGTGGCCAGCACTTTGCACGTGGACAGCTTGGAACAAGCCCTTGGGAAGTGCTCACCGTCGCCCGGCCCGTGGCTGCTTGCGCCTGGGACCATGTTTCCCCCAAGCCTGTTTATCACGGCCATTTGCCTCCAGATGAGGGGGACGTTGCCACATGTTAGCTAGGGCAGTTTACTGTCTAGGCTGTTTTCTAATCTGTAAAATTGGGATAACGATAGCACCTACTTCTCGGAGTTGCTTCAAGGACGGGTTACTTGTATGTAGCATTTTGTTTCCTGCAGATAGTAAGCTGTTGGTAGCCGCTGTTCGTATTGGGCAAATTACGTGTGGATATAATGCAGTTGCAAGCTTCACATGTATACGTAAAACACGTACCCGGTCAGGATTGCAAACAAGCATATGCAGACACCTCTCCCTCACACTGCCATCCCCCACAGCCAGGAAACCCATATCGGAGGCGGGCCAAAGTCTCTGTGAGACTTGGCTGGGTCCGGGCCCTGGCTCAGATGTCAGGTCCCTGCATTATTGAGCTCAGGAGCCTTTGTCTCCTCCTCATTCCTGGTCCTCCCTTCTCCACGCTCCAGCAGCAGAGGAGAGGAGGGAGGGGACATCTGCCCTGGCTCCCCAACCCCATGGAACAGGCAGCCGCCCCTGGCGGCCGAGGGCTCCCTTGTAGCCAAAAGCAGGCCTTAGCTCTATACCAGCACCTCTTTAGATGCCCTGCGGGCCTGGGCCCACTCCAGGCTGCGCTGCAGCAGGTGAGGGAGGTGGGGCATTGTCTCCAAAGGGCACGGTGGAGGCCTGATGCCATCTTGTCCCCCCAGGTGCAAGAGAGTCGGGCCTGTCCCTCGGGACTGGAGCTGCCCGCTGTGTTGCTGGAGATGGAGCGGAGCCGGCGGGCCCAGGAACAGGTAGGGGCTGGCCGAGGGGCATGGCAGAGGGCAGTGTGGGCACCCCTTCATGCTCTGGCAATGCGTCTTTTTGTAGCTCCTGTGGGACTTGGAGCTGCTGACTGGGGCGGGGCTGGGCCTCTTCTGGCCCCCCCGGGCCCAGTTCTGCGGTCTGAGGGACCCGGCCCAGTGTGCATGGAGCCAGCGCAGCAAGCCCCGTGGTAGGATGGGTAGGGGGCCCGAGCAGCCGAACAGCTGGGTGAGCAGGGGCATGGCTGAAGGCAAGGGGGTCAGTGTGACATCAGGGTGATTGTGGTGGGGAGGAAGGTGAATGGGGTGTGGGCTTTGGGCACATATGGACCTGGGTTGGGTCTCTGTTTTGATGCTCCCCGTGGACTGTAAGCCTCTGTTTTCTTAGCTGCAAAATGGGGATGATAGTAGATCTTACTCAGAGGGAGCACCAGTGAACTCATCCATGGAAAGGGTTTAGTGGCACCCAGGACCTGTTAACTACATACAGGCTATTATCATGCTGCAATTAACAACTATCTGCGTCAAATCAACTGCATGGTGACATCTAGAAGCTTTTTTTTTTTAATTTTTTTAATGTCTATTTATTTTTGAGAGAGAGAGAGAGACAGACAGACAGAGTGTGAGTAGGGGAGAGGCAGAGAGAGAGAGAGGGAGACACAGATTCTGAAGCAGGCTCCAGGCTCCGAGCTGTCAGCACAGAGCCTGACGCGGGACTTGAACTCACAAACTGTGAGATCATGACCTGAGTCGAAGTTGGACACTTAACTGACTGAGCCACCCAGGCACCCCTAGAAGCCTTTAGACACGGCTGCAGCGTGGGAGGAACGCAAGCCTGGCATGGCTCCTGAGGGCAGAGGCACTGATGCCTAGCCCGGGGTGCACGGACCTTTCCCTTCAGGGCTGGTGGCTGGGCTGACCCGTCTAGGAGGGAGGGTGCTATGGTGACTGGGAACTAGGACCGTGCCTCCTAGTCTGATTCCCAGTCACCAGTTGTCCAAGGCACTCTGGGCAAGTTGACGGCCATCTCTGAGAGCCAAGGCATCCTCAGCTGTAGCAAGAGGGGGTGTTCATGGTGACTGCTAAGGAAGTGTCCAGCTGACGTTGTTGGTCACGACTGCGGTCTCATCTGAAGGCTCGAGTGGGCAGCAGAGCTCCATTTCCTCACAAGGAGGGGAAGAGGACAGGGTCATACATGGGCCTGGATACCAGGAGGAGGGATCATTGGGGGCCACCTTAAAGGCTGCCTACCACACCGGGGAATGATGCCTTGTGGACTAGGGCACCCTCCAAACTTTCCAGAGTTCCAGGCCATGCCCATTGCCTCAGGCTGGGGACTCCCTGAGCCAGAACCATCAGCTTCCTGAGGGGTGAGTCTTTCTCTTGGGAAATCCTGTTTGTTTCGTGTTGCCACACAAAAGGGCCAAGCACTGGACCCTTTTTCCTATCTCCTTCCACGGCCCTGCCTAGCATCTCTTTCTTGTGCCCAAGGCTCATCCTGGGGCCCCCACAGCCCCTGGAAAGGGTGACCCCGAGTTCCAGCTGCTGGGATCCAGTGGTGGGTGCAGGGGCTAGGAGAGGCTGCCCTGCACTGGGGTGGCAGGCAGGCTTCCTCCCCCTTCCAGAGCCCATGGGCCGTGGGAGGTGTATCTGAAACAGCCTCTGTACTCCCGCAGGGGGCAGGCGGTAGTCCCATCATCAGCCCTGGATCTGGGTGAAGCTGCGAGTCACAGAGACCCAAGGCGGGCGAGCCCTGCTCTGCCTGCAGAGTCCACACCTGGTACGCGGACACCTTGGCCGGGCGGCCAGACTAGAGCTGGAGGAGGTGGGAAGTCCTCACCCCAAGTGCCAGGATTCCAGTCCCTTCCTCACTCATTCTTTGTCTCATACTTTATATTGGGTGCCAGGAGCACCCAGGGACAACAAGCAGGTTTTATTTTATGTCCTAGTTCCACCTGGTTGGTAGCAGCTGTCCCAGGCACAGGGTCCAGGAGGATTCTGAAGCTAAACTGGGGGGGGGGGGGGGGGGGGGGGGGA